GAGTGTATAGTGGGCAAAGACACTCTAAACACTAACCTGGGTTGCCGTGTTCAGGGTAAAAGCAATAGAAAATTAAAGGACGAATGCCAAAGAAGAATTTATGATGCCAGGATAAACCAGGGGGATTTCACAGAGATCAGGTGCCTCAGCATTTAAAAAAAAAGCTGCAGGCCAGCTGGAGCCATTTGAACCAGGTACCAGTACACAGACCTGCATCAGATAAGTACTCTGATCTCAAGCAAGTTCCCAGCTATTTGACTCCCACCTTTGCTGGCCAGCTCAGCTAAGGCTGCAGGCAAAGCGGAGCACAAAAAGACAACAGCCTCTCTCATCCGCTGCTCAGCCCTTGCAGTGCAAAGGCATTGCCACTGGAGCAACACCTCCAGGTTACCAGAAGACAAGTGAGAGATTTCAGGTTGGGTGGGTAGGATCACAAGTCTTACAAGAAGCTGTCTCGATACACTGGCTTCAGAAGAATAGCAAGGAACAGAAGACAGGTGTGTTCCAGGCAGAAAGAAAGGCTATGTATACATACATCATCCAATAGCTCAAGAAGAGAGAGGATGCATTTGAGTTTCAGCAGAAACGGTGCAATGAAATTAAGAGAAAATTTCAAGACTAGCACTGGCAGCTGCTCTTGTCCCTTGCATTGCAGGGCAACCTTTGAAAAAGAGGTGGCAGAACTTCTATTCTAGACTGGGAAAACCAAAAAGAAGCACTGAAGAATATTAAAGTCTTCACACAGGACAGCTTCCCCTGTCCCCCAAATAAGCTTAGTTTGCTTACAGCTACTGGATGAACAGCAGGCATTCATTTTATGAAATTAGTCTAGTGATCCATGTTATTCATAAGGCCAGACCAGAGGATCCGCAAGATCCTCTCTGGTCTTAAAATATATCCAGCAGAGAACAATCTGCCATTGATTGAATATTTGAAAACTAATGACCTACTAGGCTCCTCACCACCACCACCACTATCCCCCGACTTCCAGTTTATATAATTCAGTGGATAAAATCCACATTTCATTTTTTAGTTCAGGAAGTTTCAAACAAATGCCTTTACATTAACATTTCAGATCATTAACCAAATGGAATAAATACGTCCCTCTGCAACAGCAAGTGGAGAAAGAGAGGAGGTCTCTGCTTGCAGCCAGCAAGTTCTGCCTTGAATGGAAAGAATCTGAGCAAGACATTTTCCACAGATGTTCATGGAAAAACATCTCGGAGCACTGCCACATTTCAAGCCTATTGTGGCAGGAAACACTGAAGTTTCATGTGCGCAGTCCCCAGCTCATATATAAAAGCTTACAGGCCTCCTGCCGTTCAGATAGATCACATTGCACAATGCATATGCACACTAAAAACCCCTCCTTGAAACATCACTCAACTCAGAGATCTGGGAGGGAGTCAAACTGGAAGAAAGGATTTCCAATCCTAGCAAGCCTCCCCACCCCCTATCAAAAAGGAATCAATAGAAATAACCGAGAAAGGAATTCCTCCTGTGACTAAAAGCTTCATGTAAAACCCTTTAAAGGCTTCCTTCTGCTGAAAACGCTGCTTCTGTATTGATCACCTCCCCACTTCATCCCTCATGGCGCAAGTTGAAGAATGCTGTCAAAGTCCAAGCCTTTAAAGTAGGGAGGAGACTGGAATACCTTCTATTTTTCAAAGTTGTACTGCCTTATTATATTCCCCCCAACAGTCACAGTTAAAATGCCTTTCTGTTACACTTTGAGAACTCCAAAAGTCAGGAAAAACTGTTAACGAGTTAATTGCACTATTAGGGACAAACACACTCATAAGCTACTTCTCACCAGTTTAACTCAGGATTTAGCAGAGCAGTGCTCCCCAGCTTTTACAGTTACCTGGTGTCCTGGTTTTGGCTGGGAGAGAGTTAATTTTCTTCCTAGTAGCTGGTATAGTGCTGTGTTTTGGATTTAGTATGAGAATAATGTTGATAACACACTAATGTTTTAGTTGTTGCTAAGTAGTGCTTATGCAGGTCAAGGACTTTTCAGCTTCTCATGCTCTGCCAGGTGCTCAAGAAGCTGGGAGGGAGCATAGCCAGGACAGCTAACCCAACTGGCCAACGGGGTATTCCATACCATATGATGTCCTGCTCAGTATATAAACTAGGAGGTGTGGTCCGGGAAGCCGCGATCACTGCTCAGGGACTGGCTGGGCATCAGCCAGCAGGTGGTGAACAATTGCATTGTGCATCACTCATTTTGTATATTCTATCATCATCATCATCATTATTGTTATTATTATTTTCCCTTCCTTTCCTGTTCTATTAAACTGCCTTTATCTCAATCCACGAATTTCACTTTTTTTTCCCCCCAATTCTCTCCCCCATCCCACTGTGGGCAGGAGGAGTGAGCAAGCAGCTGTGTGGGTGTTTGGCTGCCTGCCAGGTTAAACCACAACACCTGGAGAGCTGCATGCCCCTCCACTTTTTCTGACTTTTCCAGTTAGTATCACCCCTCCAATTTTGGGGAGCCTCTCATTCTCCCTAGAAACCACTAGCTACCTCAGCAGTTCTGCCTTTCACCACTCCCATTAGGGAAAATCTGGCACCAGCTGAAGAACAAGTTTGACAGCTGCCTGTACCACAGGATGCAAGACAAGGGCATGATATCTGAGCTGTGCTTTCATAGCTGCTCCACAACTTTGCCATTTACCTCCAGCTCCCTGACTCAGTCACAGTTTGCATCAAAGACAGTACGCCTCAGCAAACTAGACTTCTTCGGTCTTGTATACCTGATTCCAAACAATTTTCCAAATAATAATTCCACAGTTAGTCCATTCTAACTGTGCTCATCACATGTCCTCATTGTGCCCAGAGATGAATGTCCAGCAAGGATATCCGAGTAACAACTGAAAGACACAAAGTTCATCCACCAATTGAAGAAAGGAAGGTATTTCAAGCCAGATTTTGCTACATGCCAAGATTATTTTGGGAAATAGCTCTCCAGTAAATTGTGCCTGGGATCTCATTTCTCTCTTCATTCTTTTGTAAAGAATGAAAGGCTGACAGGGCTTCAGGACCATCCCTCCCCCTGCTGCAGCCTTGCTACTGGAATTCACACATTCCCAGGGCAGTGCTACAGGCTGCCTCCCTTTCTTCATTCTATGTGCCAGAAATCCTATCTGGGTGAAGAGGCTGGGAGTAGAGAGTGACAGCAAAAAGAAGTCAAGACTGCAACATGCACACTTTCCTCCCTTGCATAGCTCATAGGTTTCCCTCTGAACCATAGATATTAATAGCATGCCGCCAAACTTTTTGGACAGGAGTTCAACGTGACATAATGCAAGCAATGTTGGGAGAGTCACCAACCACCACTTTTTGCAGGAAAACCTCCATGTAAGAGGTTGGAGGGGAGGGGTGTGGGACAGATTTCATTCTTGCTGGTTTCTTGCATCACCCCTTTCAAATGCTGCTCTTCCACTGTGTCTGACCCAGATATCAAGAGTAATAAGGCTAAAACTATAGCACATTAAACCATCTCGAGAAGGCAACAGATCTACAGCAATATTCAGCTATGACAATGCTGCTGTAAGAGGCATTTACAACACAGGCAACTAACAGATTATTTTCAGAACAGTAACTTACCATAAAACTAAACAAAAAGCCAACCAGAAATTTAGCTGAAGGGAGAAGCACTGAACTGAGTCAATGTCCTCTCTCTGGCCAGCTTAGGTCAGGCTGCATCTTCATTAGGGTTTGTATCAGGATGCTACATTTCATAGCTTCTTACAAAGTGATGTCCTCATTGCAAGGCTGTCCCCCTACACTCAGCCCTTGTCCTTTTCCCAGTGTGCCTAGTATAAGGAAGTTCAATTTTTAGAAATGACCTTGTAGAGAACAATTACCTTAGTTATGGATGCAACCAGAAGTCAGGCTGTTCTTGCCTAGTCACAGACACATCTTCTAAAAACCCTACAGCCCCACTATTACAAGCACAATAACTCACATGAAGAACAAGAGATATGAGGAGAGACCTTCTCCCAAGCTGTGCTTGTGAATAGGAATGGGGGAGTGCAGAAGGTTTGAGATAAAGCAGCTAATTAGAGAGCTCCAACACAGGATGCACCTTTGGGCTACAGCAAGAGCTCTTCAAAACTGCTCAAGAAGTCACTAGCGTGGTGACCCAAATAATGAGATGAGCCCCTCATTCCTAAGTGCACCACCATTATGAAAGCAACTCTGTGGTACTTCCCACCCACACAGCATGATTGGAAGTCAGTGTTAACATGCATCTCTGATGACCCAAACAACCCTATCCCCCTCTGCTTCCCCCCAAAAAATATACCAGGACAGGCACGCTTCTCTAGAAAAATCTCAACAGGCAGGCTATGTTACAGCTGAAGATGAGGGTTTCAGCAAGGATGTGGGGAACAGGATGCACTTCTGATACTGAAATTCATCCCAATTTGTGGAGCTTTGTAGTCCAGCCACAAGGGGCCTCTAAGGTCTTCCAGTGGCAGGATACACTTGCTGAGATGGCTGAAATGTTACCATTGCCTTGACCTTACCACTTTCTGCAATTATATCAACCGGAAGGTGTGCTCAGGCAATTTAATGCTATGCTAATGGAGTCGCTTTTGGAACAGAAATCTAGTTTATATTAATGTTCTTCCAGAGCAGCCACTACTTAACAGCAATCTAGTGATAAAGCTGGCAAATGTGGCAGCAGTTATTCCATACTGAGAACCAACTTTGAGCCTGCAGGACCATAAAAGCCACATTAGTAAAGAAAAACCCAGGGGTTATGATTACAGCCAATTCATTAAACATATTTCTGTAAACAATCAGTAGCACAAAGGACACTAGTACCATCAAAGGAGACAAGCAAACCTCTCAGCCATCATACCATTTGGAGACCCCTTCCATGTTCCAAAGAGTAGGTATTTCCCAGAAACAGGGAAACCACTGGGAGAGCATCAAAGAACTCTCTCCCTTTCTGGCTTACACACACAGCTGCCAGATTCTATACCAACCTGACATCTGGAAGTCTATCTGGATAGGGTTGGATAAGCCATTCACTGCTTCACGCCACATGCCACCACCACCTGGAGACCAGGCAGTCACCACACAGCGATACAGCCCAGCATCAGAAATCTGGGTCTGATACATCCTGTAGCGGAACTCATTCTCCTGGACCTTCTCCAGAACCACGCCATCCACACGAGTCTGGTCAGTCCAGTCTTCCAGCCGCACTACTGAATCCTGGTTCAAGGAGATTATGCGAGTGGTTCCATTGGGATTCGACTGATCCGTTAGTGGCTTCTCAGCTGTAATGAGGACAGAATAGCGTGGCGTCTTGATGTTTTTCGAAGATACTTTGCATGTCATCTCAAAGGTGTGGCCTGCTACAAAGAATGGCTTCAATTTCACCGCCTCCACTGTAAGGGTGTAATCTGAAGAGGGAAGGAAATAAGCAGCAAGAGAGGGATTAATAAATAGGTGCAGATATTTCTGCAGCACGTTTCAATCTAGAAGATTACAAATAAGCAAAGTACTTTTTTTGGAGAGAAAAATCCCAGCACATTTATTTAAACACATATGGACATCCCAGAATGCTACTCAACAGTGCACGCACATCAGTACACAACAGTTTGGGTCAAGATGCAAGGATTCAAACGAACACCAAATACTGAACAGATAATGCAATACACAGGTCACAGCGTGACAGGACCTCCAGGACTTTTTTATTCAGGAGTGAAGATATTAGTTAGACAAGACTCAGAGTCCCAGTTTTATACTGGATCTGGAAGAGCACCCTCAGTGACAGGGTACAAGGACACTGCTGAAGTACTCATGACTAGTGACAAAAGCTGCCACTAACTGAATCGGCAGCGCTTAGAGTAGCTTCTTTTATTTCCCTTGAAAACCCACCGTAACAGCAGTCCAGACACATTCAGCTGAACTCCCAAGACCAGTTGAAATTGCATGACAAAAAAGTTGGTGGTAACACGAGAAGTCTCCATCCCTAGCACCCCCATACACACACCTCTGTGTTGAAAGAGTTCGGTACACCTCTGCCTCCACGTGTGTTCTTTTCCCTTGCTTCTCATGCGTTCACCTGGGTACAAGCCTACCAGAAGCCTTGACATTTCCCAACGGCCCGTTTGGCATCAAGAATGCCAGCAACACTTACTGCTTAGTTTCCTTTCCTTTCTTCAGCATTTTCCAAGTCTGCCAGCTCCTCAATCCCCAGAATCCCTTAATTACAGCGTTTGAGAAAATTATACATCTAGGAGCATAGCCCCAAGACACAAGAAATACAACCTCACAATAAGAAATTGAGAAAATGAGGAATGACTGAAATCAGAACCAGATAAAAGGAAGGGAGTTGCTAGTTTCCTGGCACTGTGATGAAGAGACATCCCACACACTCAGGTTCTTCCTAAGGAAAGGGTGCTGGGGCAGAACACACAAGCTTACAGCTATTCCTGAAGTAGCAATATTGCAAGAATTCAGCCAGTCCGACTTTCTGGACTTTGCTGCAGCGTATTCTCCCTCCCCTCCTTTTAAAAAAGGGTGTACACACGTTAAAAAAACCCAAAAAACTACACAGATCACCTTTATGCAAGGTGAAACTTCTCAGGAAAAAGGAAATAAGCAATGGTGAGATTGTTACACATTCCCCAAAACTGAACTAAATGCAGTAATATTTATGCCTCCCTACAAGAGCAACAAGATACTTGTCAAGATTACATTTTGCAGTGTTTTGCCTTCAAGCAGCAGTTTTCAAAATGAGTAAACACAGCCCACAGGATGAGAAACTCGGTATGACAACTTTAAATCAGTACTGCATAAAGCAGATCACAGTACAAAGCTATATAAAGAAACAGCAGGAGCGGGGAAGGCTGAGCTGCTTCTAGTGGTCTAGCTGAGCACAGAATTACTTGATACTCCACACCGACCCCCAACACACTTCCACCCGCTAAGCAAGTGGGAATACATGAGTTGCACATTTGGTACAATCACAATTAGAGTTGCACACACAGAGTCATTCTCTGCTCCCTTGTGTGAGAACTCATGATTCGTCTGATTCTAGACTTCAAATCCATTTTTTCCTCATTCTGTGTCCATGAGATTCTGACATCACCCTCTTCATAAGGTTGCAGCATTTAGGAGCCCAGCACAGACCAGCTTGCCACGTATTTTGGGAATCTAGTAGACAATTATATTTTTGCCCGAAAAGCAGAGGCACAAACAGCTGGCCGTACTTCTCTGCCACATTCCGCTGCTTTCTAGGCCTTGTGAGGAGGCTCTGGGCAAAAATCCCTCCTGATGCAAATGTTCTTTGTGCTGTTGATCTTCACGTCAGAGCGCTGGGTCCTAGACACCGAAAAAGAAATCTTGCATTTGGTCTCTCATACATGTACTTAAGACAAATACCTTCATATGATCAGAGCAGTACAGATGTAGCTGAGAAGAGACAACTCTCCCCACTATCCGGACTCCAAATGCCTTACTTCAACTATTCCCTGAGCCACAGGGAGTGTCTTGTCCCCTGTAAGGACAGAGCAAACTTTGTTCCTAGACATCCTTTCTTGACTTTCCATTTAAGGGCAACAGAAAATGCTGCTTTTACCAATTATTTTTGCTTAAAAAAAAAAAAAAAAAGGAGAAAGGAGGTGGTGGTAGCATGGGACAGCAGCAGAAATGCCATCTGTAGAGTTTGTGGAAGAGAACGTCTGAGGCCCAGAGATGCAGCTGGAGAACAGTGGTAGAATTCAAAAGGGTTAGAAATTAGGATGCTGAACAGGGAGATATATTCTTATGAAAGGCCTTTCAAAGGATTTTTCTACCTTTTACAAACCCAAAATTCTTTAGGTTGGATGAATACAGAAAGCAGAGGCACCTCCTCTTACGCGAGACCATAATAAATGCAGACCAGAATAGAGAAGGGGACACAAAAAACAGCACATACAGGTGCTGAATGTTTCTTGTTTGCAAGAAAGTAAAAAAAGATCAAAGGAACATTACTGAATCTGCAACATACTAGAGACCTGCGTACATAGTAAAGTAAAACAAAACAAAAAAGCCCCATATCCTATCAACTAGAAAAGCCTGGATTGCCATTCTTAACAGCACGGTTCTGTGCCAAAATTGTCCTCCTTCAGTAGCAACAGACGAAATGTAATTAGCACTCTATCACCCCCACCCAGGAAAGCATGTAGTTGTCTCTGCGTGTAACAGTGCACGTTATGGGAAAGAGGAGAAACCAAAGATTTGGCACTTAAGTTAGAAATAACAGTAATCTGCAAGAAAAGTTAAGTGGAAAAGGAAAGTTCCTTCATGTTTCCTATGTTAACAGAAACTACTCATCAGATCTTATAGCATAAGATGGGCCAGAGAGGTCAAAGAACATTTTCTTCCAAGAACCGCATCCTAAGATCTCATTTCTAATCTTCTAAGAATTGCCAAGGAGGCAATGTCTGTGTCTTGACCACTACCCTGCACGCTTGCCCCTCCACACACACACCTGCAATCCCATGCAGAGTCTCACGTCCTTCTTGTAAAGCTCCATGAACGAAAAGCACAATAAAACACACCCTGGTCAGTCACATACAGGAGGCTGCAATCGGCAGAGTTTATGTTGGAAAGCAGTAGGGGAAGAGATCCTAAGTAAACCATACTCAAAGCTTATAACCAGTTTGGGCGCTACTCCAAGACAGAGGGCTAGCAGCAGAAGAAATCCTAGCCAAATGACTCAGATAAAATTTGAGTAATAAACTGTACTTTGGAGCCTGGCAGTGCATGCCTCTGTCTTTCACCACCGGCCGCTCCAAGTGGTTAAGCCACACTATAATTCTCTTGCTCTCTACCACAAAGTACGTGCTCAGATTCAAGAGTACTTCCTGGGTAGTGACCAAAAAGAGTTTTCACCTAATCTAAGCCAGTCAAATTGCTAGAGAAGCCTAACAGCTACAAGGGCAAGGAGACTTGAGGAAACAGCAAACACCTTCCCTGCACTCCACTGACTCTGGTCGGAAAAGCAGCACAATGACCACAGCTAACAGTAACCTCAGAGCCTAACGTCTCATCAGCAGCCTCAAGTAACGCCATCTCAATATTCATAAAGGCTTCTTCATCCCCCAGTGCACTAGCTAGATTGCAAGTACAGGGAATGCAACAGACATTAAGGTAATGACAGCTTTGCCGTCATAGGAGAAGGAGACTATACAACACCCTGAGGTACAATTGTAGCCCCAGCAGCTCTGATACCAAGAGCCCTGAAAATACAGCAGGCACACTAAGGCCCGCACCACAGCCTGATATGTGTATATACAACGCAACGGCTGTCCCCATTGCTGCATACACACACAGCTAGACCACCCTCACTGGCCTGCTCCCCTGCCAAGCAAAGAGCATAAACACTTCATCCTCACACAGCCATGGGCATGAGTAGCCCAGCCACCCCTGACTGGGGCTTGTACACCTACCTTAATGGACTTTCTTGTTCCTATACCCAAACTGGCACATACACCTGGCAGCTTGGTGCCATAGGTACGGAAATTTCTTTGCTCAAGAGGAACTGCGTGTCTGTACTATGCAGTGTCTATTATACACCAGCAATCGTAAAGACAAGTGGGTGGCAGAAATATCACCTGTTCTCTATTCATAGGACTTTCTGAAAGATTAAGATGCCCTTGTTCCCAATTAAATGTAATGGGAGGGCCTGGGCAAGCATTTAGGACAAGTAACATTAAACACAATTATTTTGTAAATTCAAGACAGAAGTATTAACAAAACCCCAAATAATAATACATTTGGGATTTGGAATTTCAATTAAAAGATGATGTTCTCTTTTGCAGCAAAGAATTCTATGCAGATCCAAAGTTGACAACGCTGGTTTAGGAAACAAGCACCAATTCTGCATTCCACTGCAAACAGCAACTGTGTTTTGAATATAGGCAGTACTCACACTCAAATTAATAAATAAAATTATCTTTTAATCTATCAAACTTTTTTCTGGGTTGAAAATCATCTACAGAGTCAGTCAAAAAAGGCTTCCTCCCTTCCTTTACCCCTTTTACCAATTGCAATTTATACTCTAAATAAGCAAAAAATAACAATATAATTGATGCTTTTCATTTCTGAGATGAGATAAAGATGCTTTCTTTGTCACCTCGGCGGGGGACTGGGTAGAAGAAAGAGGGGAAGAAATAAATCGGGCAGACCATGTCAAAAACAACAGTGATCTATGATAGCGATAGGCTGCATTTGTAAAGCTGAGTAAGCAGAAAGACATGTGAGCATTACTGGTCCCAACAGAACAAAATAGAAAAAGAAGATAAAAAACCTCAAGTTAAAATGGGCAAACATACAACTTATTATACAACACACACAAAAAGGACTTTGACATCTTCACATGATGTTTACATTTCAAGCAAAGGCTTCCTTATCCTGAACACACCTCTGTGCTGACTCAACACACCGCTGAACACACCTCTGACCCACAGACTCAACATAAAGCCATTTCTCCTTTCTCAAAAACTCAGAACAATCTTTTCCAAAGTGGGATTTTCCCAAAGTCCTCCCCCCCCAAGCACCACTCTAAAGTTAACACAGACGATGCAAGTAATGAAATAGTTGGGAAAAAAGCCTCTATGTAGGCACAAATTATCCAAGGAAGAGGCAAATTTCTGTTCTCTCCTTAGGCAAACATGTGGGAGCCCTGGCTGCTCACTTTTATAAGCACTGGGAGCAGCTAGGGACTCAAATCACTAGAGATACTTGTCAAAACAACAGTCAGAGAGCCGAGGCAGCAGCAGATTAACTCTTTCATAGTTGCTGGCTACAGCACTGGGCTTACAGCTAGAGTCTGGAGCTCACACGAATAGGATATGGCAGGGGGACAGGGCACACAGAGAAAGGCATCTGGGGCTAGACTGCTGAAAGAGCATGGGGGGGAGGGCACGCGAGGGGTGGAAGGGAAGAAGGGGAAATCAAACCTATATATTGCCCCCCCCCTTATATACATATAACATCCTTTTTCAGGAGGAGAACGTGTTTGTAGGAGAGCTCACTTTCACATCATAAATCCCCCAACTCCAAGTTTTGCCAACAAAATATACTTTTCAGCATGGGGACTATAACATTTACATTTGCATTGCAAAATTAGCAGAGTTTTTGGAATAAAACCAGAAACAAGGGAATGTTCACACCTGTCACGGTTTGTTTTCCCTCAGAAATGTCAACACAGGCTGAGACTTTTCAACTCCAGCTGGTCTCTCTAGCTGCTCCGAAGGCGATGATCCATTACGCATGCATGCACATACACACACACTCCGTGTTGTGGCATAACAACTGAACTAATTGTGACCAGCATTCAGCATTAATGAGAGATCTCACTCCTGCTGGAGAAGCCAACTTCAGCGAAAAAAATGACCTTTTCATGGACCACGCTTGGTCTGGGGATGAAGGGAGTACTGAGCAAGCAGCCCACCATTACTCTCTCCACTGAAGCAGAATCACAGCAGAAGCTCTCCAATTCACTGTTTAGGGATTATCCCTAAACAACTTTAAACCAATTTCAAATAACTTGTCTCTGAAATATAGTTCTCTGCCTGTGGCTGCCTGAGCTACACTGTTAAACAAATCTATCAGGATAAACGCAGCTTAGCTAACGTCTTTGCCAAAGACGTTACAACCTAGGTTATACTTGGTCTGTCCCTATCCAACAGACCCTCTTGCATGACCTCACATCTAAGCCAAAACAGTATCACTCTACAGGACATCCAGGACACATACATCCATTTTAAACCAGCATTAAGCGATTTAGGTAACTCTATTTAGCTTCTAAGAAATGCTCCCAGAGTCAGTTTAAATACTGATCAGAGCTAGTTCACTTCTGCCTAAAAAAGGCCCAGATCCAAGCAAATCACTGAATGACTTTGCTCTACCACCCACTTACTTTTTGATACTCTGGTACTACTATGCCCATGAACTTCCTCAGAAATGCCTTCTAAACCTGGGCTTGTAGGAGAGCGGGAAAAAAAACCTCTCAAACTGGCAGACAGAGAAGACTTAAAGTGAGTGACATTTTTCTTTTAACCTCAAGACAACCCTGTTGCTAGCAGCAAGATGCATCCTAGGGAGACCAAAATACTCCGAGTCATGAAATGGGGCAATGACCCCAGCATCACTGCTGGATGCCACCTCTGCCACAATGACAGCCCGGCTCCTGGAAGTCTCAGCATTTTGATTTACATATCTCTGCTTTGCACTTCCACTCCAAACTGCTCCATAAAACTGCTGAGTGCTGTTCAGCAGTTACTTCCTTCCACAAATATGAGGCCTTTACACAAGGTAATGGTGTTTTTTCCTCTTCGTAACACAGAACCCCATTTCCAAAGCCCATTAGCAAGCCTTCTGGCTGACAGGCCTACTCAAGAGAACACCAGCTCAGCTATCCAGGTCTTTCAGCAAATAGGTGCAAGGTTCCTACCTTGTGTAGCCCAGAAAATGCTGACAGATGCAGAAGGCACATCTTTGCTCTTTATCCAGCTGTTGTTGCGGTGCCTACTCCATGCAGAGATGACACAGAAATAATCCCCTCTGTCACTTTCGGAAGTCCACTGAATTCGTAAACTGAAGGTGTCAACAGCTTTTTTAGAGAAGATTATTTCCCCGTTCTGAGTCCGCTCTCTGCTCCTGTCCCCAAGCAGCAGAGTCCAGTCTGCATACATCGTGGCCAGGAGTTCCTCTGTCACCACATCGTCACTGCGCAGGCGCTGCCTGTAGTACCAGGAAACTGTGAAGCGGATGTTTGCTTCCGTGTCCTGTGCATTTGTGATCCTGCAATTGAGCTCTGTGGGGTCATCTGAAAACTTGGGTGTTTTAGAGGCATTCAGAAACACCTCATAGTCTGGCTCTGCAGGAGAGGAAACCCAGAACAAAGAGGTTAGAAGCTACAAGCAGAAGGGAGAAAGTGCCAGAGCTTATTAAGAAATACTAACTTCTAACATCCAGTCTGTGAAAGCACCTGAGCTAGAAGCCAAATGCCAGAATATACATTTTTCTTACAAGACCTGGGGACTGGGAACTTGGAGTCCAGCTCTCAGATTTGCACCAGTCTGACACAAGTACACCTAGGCCTGCATTTCCAAACAAGACCTTTCGTTTCGTATGTCTAGTCAGACCATTTCAGAAAAATCAGGACTAAGATCTTGTCGAGCAAAATCATTCCCTTCTTTAGGCCTGGCTCCAAGAACCCACCATGTAGGTTCGGTTTCATCCCAGCCAGTCACCTTTTGCACATGTTCAAATGCCTGGGGCAGCCTGCAGCAACAGGACACTGGTTATTCTTTAGCTTTGGACTGACCAGAGACATCCTATTTCCCCAATTTCTCTCCAGGATAAGAGGCCATTTCCCATCCTGAAATGCCTTCTTTTCCACATTTAACCACCCTATCATGTCTCTACAATACAGTTTAAGAACGTTAAAAAACAACCCAAAAACCAAACACCTCACCTATCCACCAAAACCACGGGGCATGGATAGCACCATTGGCACTGGCTACAGGCAGCACCAATAGTGGTACACAGTGAATTTCAATGGGCAGCATAATAAATACTAAATAGGTTAATAGTCAAAGATGCATAGATCAGAAGAGCTTCACAGTCTGAATAGAGAAGTACGTGCTGTACAGCTATGAGGCTGGAATATCTCAAGCTTGAAAAGGAGTGCCTGAAATTCATGCGTTAAGAATGGGGCTGTTGTATTTAAATCTGAAATAGCTGGCTGTCCAAAGCCTAAAAGTGATAAGGCAGCCACATGACTATTTTCTCTCAGACTACAGAGATAGTAAAGGAAAAAGATTACAGCAAGAACCTCATACCACAAAGGAAATACATATTTATTTACTAGTATTAGAATATTTTTCTGTCTTGCTGTCTACTATAACTCAGAAAAAAGACTAGCTTTCCAACTGTTCGGCCAAGACTCATCACGTGGCTTTTACATCGTAAGTGTATTCAGCGCTCTATATTTATTTCTTGCTTTATGTTTTATTTGGCATTTTGCCCTCCTAGAAACAATTAACGAAAGCTATAATTGGGACAGAGAAGGCAATCCAAGGCTAAAATTCGGCTTAGCTCACCAATGAGCCAAGATAATAAAGCATCTTAATAGAACTGCTGTGCAAACTGTGTATGCACATGCACTTTTGGACTTCAGATGCAAAGGATAAAAACAATTGTATCAAGCAAGCTGGCTGCTATGTCAGCTTGCAGAAAAGATCTCTCACCGTTGTGTTATGCATGCAGTGTCCTTGCATCTAGCAAGAACAAGGGCATTGATACACACCAGACACTAGAGTACATAGTGATACTAATGGTGAGTTTCTGCAGTGTTAGGTAACACATAAGCATAAAAGTATTATTTACATAAGACCGTAGTACCTACTACCAGTGGACATAAGTGCAGATTTCTGTGCATTTTCAGTATAAGTAAGGCAAAATAAAAAGAAAATGCCCAGAATTCCTCTGCTGCAACCAAGGCATAAATTATTAATGGTGGCCAAAATCCACGTTTGGTCTAAGTCCCCATAGATCCTACAGCTACGCTACTCCTGTCTCATTCACAAAAGACCAGTCTTCCCCCGGGGCCTCTTGATATATTGCTCACGCTCTGCAATTTTCTTATCATTCCTCCTCGCCTCCCCTTCCCCCCCAAAAAAGAGGGCATTCAAGACAAATTAATATTTTCACAGCAACAAGGACTATGAAAGCAGAAACTCTTCTCTAGACAGGAACACAAGAAGGAAAAAGCTGCAAGAAACTCGAATTCTTAGAAAATCACTTCAGTTTTGTTTTATTTTCAGGCAGGGGAAGGACTGCTAAGAAGAGAGTTTTGGCTTTGACAGCACCGCTCCAGATAGGCGCTTCACCCTGACAGATACTTAAACAGAGGATTTAGAAAGAATAAAAGCTGGCTGGATAAACCTCATTCCTCCACTCGGTCAGCTGTCAAAGAACAGCCTCACTGACAGTTCAATGACTTAATACTCCAACAGTCCTTAACTTCCATTAAGGAGGAGGAGTTGGTGAATTCTGAATGCAGTTGAAAACCTCAAATGCTGAAAATTTATTCTACTTTCCCTTGCCCTAGCAACCAAGCATCTGCTGAAGAGCAGATTTTATTCTCTCCTGTTCCCAAATAATGCCAAATTGGAATGGAAAGAGTAAGGAATAGTCCTACAGGTATGGGCACTATGAGAGAGTACATGAGCATGCAGTGCACCTGTGCCCACGTGAACATGTGTGCATGCATGCACATGCACACAAGCGGGGGAAAGAGGGAACACTCACCAGTTGAATGTGCAATTTGAATGGCTGAATGAGGACAGGAAATTAAGACATTCATCACTTGCACGCTTCTAGCACACATTACAAGTATACTTGGAAACAGCCACGGCTCAACTGCTCTGTACAACGCTAAAATGCAAAATTTGAAGTCATTGTCACTGGGATTTAACCTTGTGACACAGCTGTTTATTTCTGAAAACTAGGCTTCAGAGCAGGCTCTCTATATGCTGGTCTCATTCAGCACTTTTATGTTGGAGGAGCTCTGCCTTTGTTACTGGACACTACCACCAGGTTCTGATGACAAGAGTCTCTGAAGAGGTACTTTGAGAGTGTTTAGGCCCGGATACTTGCATCCAGTCAAAGCTGGGAACAAACACCAAGTACTACAGCTCTGCCAGTTCTCCCCCAGCTCACATCTAGGTTCATTCATGCTTCCAACACAACCAATATTTTGTGAATTTTAGCAGGTGTAGATACCTTACCTACAGCATCCTGCAACACCATTCTGAGTTTCATTGCTTCTAAATTGAAGCTATTCTCTCCCAAAGATTAAACTAGGAGACAGGATGGGTAGGCTGACATGTGTAGAGCTATGCCTAAAACGACAGGCTGTTTAGAAGTTTTGCTGGAGTTTCATTTTTAGTATTTCTACCAAGTAACTTTACTTCTAAGAATATTTGCATAAAGAGAGATCTCCAAAGCTTAAGAGTTCAGCTGGGATAATGCAAAACAAAAGCTTTACAATCTGCAGCATGCATATGAGACAGTGGATCTCCCAAACAGATTTGTCTTGGGAAAGGGGTGTAGGTAAAGATAGCGTCAGCCTGCTCTTGTAAGCCAGGTAGATCAGATAAGCCTGTTGAATCTCTTACCTACAGCTTCTGTTCCTCATTCAGTCAACAAGTCTTAAATGAACAACTGTTAAACACAGCTGCTTCTAACCAGCCCCTTGCAAAAAAATGTGGACATTGACGTATTAGAGCTGTAAGAAAGGAAAACCACCAAAAACAACTGGGGGATAAAGGAAGGAGAGAATAAAGAGATCGTCAAGTTTAAATAGATTTTTTTCCCCCACTGGTGAATTAAAAGAACTTGCCCGCAGAAATGCTGAAGTAACATATGCAAGCCTTAACTTCAAGTGCACAAATAATCCTTTGCTCATCCAAAAGGCTAAAAAACCACTCATCTCTAGGATTGAATGATGAAGAATGCACCACACTGAGTGGGACGTTAAATACTGCAGGAAAATCTGTTTTAGTGGCCACTATGCTAATCAACACCACTAGCATTAAGTTAGCCACAAGCCAGGTCTCTCTCACTCAGTCACACTACTCAACAGCTATGTGACATGCTCTCGTAAAATGGACTTGTGTGTTGAGGGAGGAGAATAAACCAGTACAAAGTCATGTTCTATCCTAAATCCATCAGTAGGATGTGGTGTCTCTCTAGTGATTAAGACAACAAAACAAAACCCCAACAACTTTGAAAGTTATTAGTGTTCATTATGAAGTTTCCATTATAAATAATTTTTATGGTATAAGACTCAAAAATCAGGGGAAGCATCTACTATCACCGTGTTCAGAGCTCAGAGAGAATGCCTGTTGCTGGATCAGAGCCCTACTAATAGTACGAGGGAGGTGAAAGGGGACAACATGACAACAGGGGCAGCTTCAGCCCCTGGAAAACAAGGCAGGCTTTTAAGTTCTATTTTGCAAATGCAGACTGTTCAATGACACTAGAAAGCGGAGTGCATGGGTGGGACGTGTGGTAAGAGATCCTAAAACCCTATAATGTACAAACACAAAACCCCATAGGATAGATCAGGATTTTTATATGTGGGGGAGAGATATCCTACATATAGACGATAGATGCAAACAAGAGAGAAACTTGCGCAGAAGAGATTCTGCAAGGTCCTCTCCCTTTTCTGATGGGACCAAGGAATGAGTGGTACGTTACCCATGAAGTCTGAAAGCAGAATCACTCACCTAATGCTGTCACCACCACACTGACTGGTGCAGATGTCCTCTCCACCACCTTATGCCAGCTCCCGTTGTGCAATGGTACCCAGACAGCTGCTTGGCAGAAGTAGTAGCCAGAGTCTTCCACATCCACATCACGCACCAACAGGCGGTAAGAATTCCTATCTATATGGCTCAGGCTGATGAGAGTTGAATCACTGACAACAGAATCACGGTCCATGCTTAGCAAAACCTGAGCATCTGACAAGGTATCATCAGGTGACACAGAAAAATACCACATCAGCTCCGCTTGGAAAATACCACTCCTGTCTGTTGTGATGTTGCATGTAAGATCCAGGGAGTCTCTTTCAGTCACAGACACATTGCTTGTTGAGATAACCACATCTAGAGCTTAGAAATGAAGACACAAAAATTCAAACAAAAAAAATTTTTTTTTTTTTTTAAAAAGAATCCACTGTAAGTTATCCAGGACTTCACATTATATTACAGAAGCTTCTGAAGTAGCCCAGTAGCCCTACCTTCAAATGCCTGTTGGATATTGAGCTGCATAATCTATTACAAGGGAAGTACACATTATCAGTCAAGCAAGGGATGCGTGATGAGGGCAGGGGGACAAGGGGAGGAAGAACAGGGTTTTTATAACTCAACAGCAACTGGTCCATGAAGGCTTTGTCCCAGTCTCAGACCACACGTCACCTTCACACAGCAGGAAAACGAGTACAGGATTTTCCATTCTCTCAGGAGGGTCAAGGTGTTTTGGGACTATCTCTCAGTAGAGAAAGTGTCCACCGAAATCACTAGGAACTACATCAGAACTCAACTTGGTTTCTGCTGAAATGGTTTTGAGCTCCTCTAACAGAACAGATTTAGATGAGAAGCAGCCACAGCCATGTTGGAGTCCTGACTGACCTCAGGTTATGCTGCAGAAACCTGAAACGGAAGCAAACAGAAGGCAGCAGTAACTCCTTATACTGCTGACTCCTCCACTTACTGCTGTGACCAACACACACTGGGGACTTTAAAACAATGCCAATAGCTGCTTCAAACACATTTAACAAACTCCTCCACTGGCCAGTGAATATTTTTAACATACATAGCATATATGGTCATAGCCAGCATTCAAATGGGACCTTCTGCACTCTGTAGGTCACCAGGCTGGCCACAGCTTTTTTAAAAGAAAGCCATAGGATGAAAGTGTCAAGACCAGCAGTAGAAAAGCTGGCCTTAGTTACTGGTGGAAGTGAACCAGGGGCGCTATGTGTGTTGTTTGTAAACAGCGGAAATCATTCACCAAGTTACCTGGCCACCACATGTCTTCACTTGCTCATTCCCTCATTCTACATTGCCTAAAGATTAGATTTGGATTTCAGTGCAGCACCATTCCCACAGTGTGTAATGCAGCTGCTCTTTAAGTCTCAACTGAGGCCAGCAGACAGGGCTGCTACAGCAGTGGCTCTTTGCAGCAGATCTAAGGCCAAGACCATGACAAAAAATACAGATTCCTGCTTTAAACAGGCAGCTATGTCTCCGGTGCAGATTAGTAACTTCTATGTAAAACCATGTTCTGCTACATAATAGGAAGCCATCTGTAACAGCTTTCTAGGATTATCATCGGGAATGAGAGACAACATATAAAGGCCAGAGCCAAGCTGAGTAGACACAACTATTGCCAATAAACCCAAGCAATACTCATCTCGCCACTCACCACTTGATAGCACAGAGCAGCCAAACTGAACGGAGGGTAGCAAGCCCCACCTGAGTGGTAAAGCAAAGCCAGCTGTCTGACGAGTATCTCATTGGGACTTCCCTCGCTGTCTTATCACGGGATTGGAATCAGTAGGAAAACCTAGTTAATTCAACAGACTAATACCAAAACACAAAATAAGACTCATCTGCAAGGTTAAGAGCAGCATTTCTCCAAGGAACACTTCTGTCTTCATGAAATAGTGACGGGCATTCAGAATCTGGCAGTAGATGCATACAGAGGGACTCTAAGAGAGTTTACCCATATGTATATTCTCAATGCTCCTTTTTTGGTTACAGACATGTCTGAAGGCCTCACTTAGGGTTATATACCTGTTGTGCAAGGCACTATTAAAAAAAAGACATACGAGAACAAAGTCAGGCCCAAAGACGTCATGATTTTAGGAGATGAAAGTGATGGGCAAGTAGATAGAAGAGCAACAACAGAAAAAAAAACCCACACAGTTACACAAGTAACCTGTGCATGACTTTTTTCATTAGATATGATAAAATTTAAAAAAAAAAAAAAAAAAAAAAATTTTCTACAAATTCAACTCTACAGTTTACAGCAGGTGAGAATGAGGGAAGTGCAACAACCAGGCACACCATTTACAACTCAAGTTCATTTTAGCATGCAAGTGCAGAGATTTCAGATGTCAGCACAAGATGCTCTTCAAGTCCTACTACAGGATGTGTGTGTAAAAATTTCCACAACATTTTGCTGGAGAATAACTTATCCCATTTAGCGTAACTTTAAAAAAAGCCTTCATTCCCCTGACAAAATGCCAGCGCTGCCAATGACTGAGCTAAAAATGAAGGCAAAACAACCCTAAACAAAAAAACAAACAAAAAAACCACAAACAAACAAAACCACACACCCAAACTACACTAAAAACTGCACTACTACTGCTCCTGACCATCCTCACCCTGTTTTCAGCCACTGATTAAACCCCACCTACTTAAACCAAACACTCTAAAAGTGCAACAAAATAGAGAATTACAGCTCTTAATTAAGTAAGCCCTGCCTCAGCAGAGAGCACCTGCAAACTTTACTGTGTAACAGACACCCTGAAAAAGAGGGGGCAGATTGATCCTGTCAAATTTCACAGGCTAAGTACCACCTGGACACTAAAACTACATCCAAACGAGCTAGCCAAAAAACCCAGCAGTTCTGGGTTCTCCCTATAGTGACTAAAGGATTACAAAAATGAAGATATCCTTACTGTCTGAACACTTCTAAAATATCGTTATAATCTCACATTTCTGAGGGACCATCATTGCCTGTTCTTCCACCTATTGAGTGACAAGAAGCGTCCTGCTTTCCCTCCTCCAACTAGCAGTGGTAATGCTAACACAATTAAGTGCTTAGTGCAACTACTCCTGAAATCTATACGAACAGGGATATCTGGATATCCTCAGCGCAGCACTATATGTATTTTGTCTCCTTAGTCAAGCATGCAATGATGTGTTTAACAGAACCATTACTGGCTTGACCCCTGCCAATACAGTGGAGCAATCAGACCAGTGATCCAGTATCAGTGATAAAAATCACTGGATAATTTGTCGTGTTAAATTATCACTGCCTTCCTCCTTTCTCTTGATCGGTGTATGCTATTTTAATAAACAACGTACAGAAAAACTTCACATCTGTCACTGAATCACAAGCCACTTTTACAGGGGAAGTGCAGTTGTTTAGTGCTATGGGACAACCCTATGTCAATGATAGAGCAGAGGGAAGGTTTGGGGTGCTCAGGGATTAAATACAATGTTTATTTAAGAAATAAAAAAAACAGAAGCAATCTGAAGTGAACTAAGGATGAGATAAAATCTAGCTCTAGGCATCTAAGATGTTCCAGTCAATCCTTCCATGCCATCATCCCCTTCTTCCCCAAAATAAAAGCTAGAAAAATTATGCTAAGCATTTTCTATCGACTCGGACGTAAATAGGCCAGCTATTCAAACAGCCCTCTAGGTTCTCCTGGAATGTATCCTCATTTAGTTCAGCTTACCCAATTTCTGCTCTCAGAGTACCACAGTCTGGACACAGCACTGCTGTAGCTACGACCTGTGACCCCAGCCCATCAGTAACACTCACCAGTCCGTTGGATTGCCACACTTGCTATATCCACGCTCTTCTCCTGAATCTTCTGCCATGAGCTATCTGCCCCTCTCACCCACTCGCTCACGAGACACCTGTAGGCACCCCCATCCACCGACGAGGCCTGGGATACAGATAACTGATACGTGTCATTCGCTCCTGTGTCCAAGCGGATATCTCCATCATGGTAGCGCTCTTCATAGCCAGGGCCTGGTTGGAATTTGCCCTCATGAGTCAAAGATAGGATGTCCCGCCACATAGATCCATTTTTGATCTGCCAAGTCACATGCAGGTGAGTGTGCTCTGGTGAGATGGTAATTGCTGAGCAGCGCAACTTGAAGGAGTCACCCTCAGACAGCCTGAGAGACATTGAGGAACGTGCTTTTGAACCACTCACCAATAAGCCATCGGAAATCACTATTTTAAAAAAAAAAAAAAAAAAGAAAGACCAAAAGACACAAGCATCATAAAACGGAAGCAAGGAGAGCATACCCACACTGACCTGTTCAGATATGAGGCAGTAAAACTACCACAGAGCAACACCTGGCCAATCATTCCTTCTTCCACACATAAATATATTCCAGGAACAAGGAAATTCAGCTGAAAAATCCATTAAAGGAAGTCCTCCACTTTAAACAAGCCAAGACAAGCATTCAAATTCATTTATCCTTCCCCTTGCTTTAGTTTCTCATCCAAACATCATCATTCTGACTATTCCCATCCAGAACCATCTTGATTTTCATGGGAGTAAAAGATAAGACACTTGAAAAAAATAGTCTCCCAAGTTGTTACTGAAGAACCCTAAATGAGAGAGCAAAGCTAGGGCATGAGTGCAGTATCAACATGCTAAAGGGGAAAAGGAAGATGACTTCCTTCATATAGAAAGATCCCTAAATGACACTATAAATAAGAGAGAGCAGAGAGGCTGTGTTTTTTACCTGAAGTTAGCCTCTCTACCCAGAGGCTTAGGGACATTAAATATTTGCAGACATCTTCAGGAAAGCCACTGTTTAGTTTTCCCATTTTTATTTACATATTTACTAGACAGAAAAAAGGAAAGTGGTGCTTATAGTAAACAGCCTCTCTTCACTTCTTCACCTCACTTGCCTTTGCTATCATACTTCCCAATTTTCGATTTTGGCTTTAGAATTAAACAGGAACAGGGAGAAGAAAAAGAAAAAAAAAAATCACAATGCTCATAAGCAGTAGAAATTCAACATTCTTAAGGGTACATCTATAATCAATATCAAAAACAAATTTAGAGCACACCTCACTCTTCAGAAATACCTTTCACTTGGACCTCTGCATCATAATTTCCCTGAACGGTGGCATCAGTGCTGGGCGTGGAGCATTTGTATCTCCCTTGATCAGTTGACTGGATGTTTCTAATCACAAGTTCCACAGCATCGTTGCTGCTCCGTCTCAGTTTGATATCCCCATGGCCCACGCGTTTTTGGTACTCCTCAGAGGTGAATGTAGAATCCCAGGTACTCACTATACGCACAAAGTCAGTGTCCCGGGAGAACTCCCAGTCAAAGTTCTGTTCACTGGGTCCATCGTAGTCACTAACGCTGCAAGGGATCACCACCTCTGTGCCCACAACTCGAATAAGAGGACCTTTGGGAACCCTCACAACACGTCCTCTGCAGAAAGCTAGGCAGGAGAATAAAGAGAGAGAGAGAACACACAGTTAACAAAGGAATTACCAGGATAGACTTTGACCAAAAAAACCTATGAAATAGAATAGGGCACCCCACTCTGCAGAAAGCTAGAACCAGTAAGAGCAATACTTCCCATTAACATTTAATCTCACTGGAGCAGGAGCCCTAAACACACCATTTTTAGTGGGGGCAATCGCTTATTTAGTAACACATTAGGTAACGAAATACTGAGGGAGAGAAAATTGCCATAAGAATGGCAAGTCGACTTTCTCCAAAAATGAACATAAATCACTTCTGCCCTGAAGGGTCATGGCTTCTCTAATACAGGTGAGCTTCCTTGCCTTCCTAATTCATTTAAAAGGAAGAACTGATTTCAACAGACACAGTTTGCTTGAACAGATTTCTGCAACCACACCTGTTTATAGCACAGACTTCCTCTTTGGTGGAAGTCCCAGAACATGGGAGCATGAGCAGAACAGGCTCCCTCCAGAGCAGAGGAGCACACAGTGTTGAAACCCTGTTTTCTGGGACTGTCTCGCTAGAAGGATAGAACAACAACAGCAGTTCTCTGCAGAAGGCTGGCAAAGCAGTATGTTATGCTCCAGGCAAAAGTCTGAACCACTTAAACTAGCCAGAGGACCTGGCAAAGACGCAGCAGGAGACTTTTCTGGTTGATTAGGCTCTGTAGCCCAAAGAATAACCCCAGCAGCTGCACATGGATTTTGGCAGGTTCTTACTTCCCAAAAGAGCAAACTGCTTTAATTCATAGTTCCAACCAGAGAATTCTTTTCAGAAAGAGAGGGGTACTATCTAAACTCAGTCTCCAAACCTGAACATCCTACTGCATCCCACCAGCTCCATATCCATAGCAAAATATTTTAGCAGCCAGGCAGAACAGAAGCCAGAACACTGAAGGACAGATCTTGCTAAAACCAAGTAGATGACCATAACAACATCAAAAGCAGTTGGACCAAAAGGTTGATCTGAGATACCACAGAGGCAAAGCCAAATTTAAACAAACAACCCCCCAACACACAAAATCCAGCAACCCACAACTGCTCTAATCCACCAGCTACATTGGGAAAGCCACCAGCTAGTGACATCAACACCAATATACTTGCTGAGCCTCCCCCTCCTATCACTCTGTATGTCTTCTTGCTGTAGATTAAGACCCCACTTGCTGGCTCAGAACCACCACGCCAATAGGTATCCAGGTGTGGGCACAGAAGTTAGTCTCGTGGAGAGAAACCACCCACTGGGGAACCTGTTATAATGTGCAGCTTGTCCCCTCCAGAGCAGCGTGGAGAAGGATGTGTTAAAGAACCAAGATTTCTGTAGGCATTTAAAAACTACACAAGCAGCTGTACACACTGAGCATAACTACAAAAGAAAAAGCATATTTTTATCCCCAGTTACAGTTCAGCAAACAATTGAACCAAGGACTGACACTATCTTTACCTCCCCAGTTCATAACCCCCAGCATGCTCTTTGCTTTGCAGGCTGTTCACGTGTACAGGCTCAGTCATAATAGTCCAATTTCCTCATTGCCATGACCTTCTGTATTCAACATTAGTACATCATTAAACTTATTTGTAATGCAGACTGGGGTTAATCTCTTACCCGTTATATCCCTCCCAGAAGACGGTTATTATGTACCTGATCAAGCGATTGACTAGTCCTAATAAGGAAGCTGGACTTTTCTGCACCATTCACATGTGAATGCGGGAGAAAAACCTCCACTGCCAATGTATTGTTCCAAAACCAGATGTCTTTAAGGACATCTCTCTAAACACAAGCACCATATAATAAAATCATTGATACAGAAAAATAACCAACAAAAAATAAAGCAAGCTGCAGGGCTCCGATATATTGCCTTACAAGGTCTTAAGTTGCAGCCCCATTCAATCCTTCAACTTATCCTCTTACAGAAAGCGGTAACAGCAGCAGGTCAGCTTTAAAGCACTGCCTGACGGCCAAACCAGCTTCCAGCAGACTGCTGTGAGAAGTCAGCTCAGGATCCTGACTGAGGGCACTCCTCAAACGCTGACATCTCTCTAGAAAACACTCTCCTGTGACACTAAAACAAGCAGACAATGCTGTTCTGCATGTCTTCAGCTGTAGACCCACATACCGCGCACTCCACTAATCCAATCTAGAGGTGACAAAGGCATGACTAATGTGGCAAAGGCTGCACATTTCCGTTTGAGATTAGCACCAACAGCTCAGTTTCTCTTCTTCCAAGGTCACTAAAGACCCTTTGGCACTAAATGAAGGTAGGGGCTGATTAGTACCTCTAAGAGAAGGCAGGCCAAATGGAAAGATAGGGGCACAAGGACTCCTCAATGGATCTGTTCGGAGTTGTACCCTATTGCTGTAAAGCAATGACTATCCCCCTCCTCACAGCACAGTCCCAGAAGCAATTGCAGTTTAACACAAAGTTGGAAGGAGGGCAGTGGAACAGGCTGCAGGAGAGAAGAGGGACAGCCTGTAACAGCTGTAATTTTATACTTTACAAACAATAACATTTGTTACTGCTAAGATAAATTAGGATTCTCGTAAGGCAGGAGCACACAGACACAGCATCACAAGATAAGAGAATGAGAACTTACTGCAGAGCATCTGCCGTGCCCTGCCCACAGGTAAGGAGGCGTGTGCACAGAGCAAACACTCCAAGGGTGAACTGCATTTCTAGGTGACCCAGGAGGCTCAGTATCTAGCAAGCTGTGAATTCAGGATTCTGCCTTTTGTCCTGCAGCAGTCAACAGCAAGAGTATCCCTAGCTACCAAACAAGGTGTTATGTTCTCCCCAAGGGTACTGAGGGAGCTGGCAGAGG